AGCAAGAGAAGCAGCTGACACCCCACGTCCAGCTGAATCCAGCACTCCTGAATAAAAATGTGGCCCCCACCCTTCCCCACTGCCCTGCTTGCCATGATTTAGCTCTTGCTCTTGAGCAGGCAAAGGAAGTGCTGGGCAGGAAACCGCCCCAGTGGAGGATGCACCAACGTCCTCCTCATCCCAACTTTGCCTTCAGCCACAGCACAGGAATGCGAGTTGCAGCACCAGCTTAGGAGGGGTTGTTAATGGTAACAGGACTAAAACAGGAACTGGAGAGAGAGGTCTTGATTTCAACAGGAAGAACTGAAGAAATGCACTCTTCACTGGATTGTTCCGTGCTTCCTATTAGCTCACTTGAATTAGACTTCCTAGTAAATATAAGGGCATGGGAAGAGTTTATGCCTGTTTCTGTTAGCGATTAATGATAGAGCAGGAATTAGGAGACCAAGCCTTGTGTGTCTACTCCAGTGCTCAGCCAACTGGACAATCTTATATATGCAAATGTAAAATAGCTTTCAATGGCATGCTGCTCTGCTGCTTACAAAACGTGCAACTCTTTTTACTTTGTTGTATCCAGAAAAAGCCACAGAGAAGGATAAAAACTGCAGCAACGGAAGGCAAGGTTAAAATAAAATCCTGAGTCCCAAAACCAGAGCTCTCTGCATTTTTGGTTCTGCACTCACATAGGTAAAGCTCTACTCTGTAAGTAGAGACTAAATATTACCACCACTGTGAAACCCCCAGCAGCAGTACTCACAGGCAACCAACAAATGCATTTCCCAGAAGCCAAGGAGCACGAGGAATCCAACCCTCGTGCTGGTCAGTACTGGAGCACTGGTTTACATCCAATACAGATCACTAGTGGTCAAACCACTGTAACAAGCACCTAGCCTGTTTTGTGGAGGCAATATCTGATCAACTCATGCCCTGGTATCGGGACTGCAATGACAGACTGGACAAGCATAGTGAATTCACACTTGCTTAATAGATGCAAAAAGATCTACTGTCCTTCGACAACACTGGTATCAAAACCACAAGTCCACATCACACTAAACTCCAAGAAATCAAACATTGCTGAGAAATCTGCAATCTGAGTACTAAACATTTCCTTTGAATAAACAATTTTCTATTAGTGGCACTAAAAATGAAATTAAAACTTCAGTTTTGATTGCAGTTTGGGAATGACTTTGAGGCTGGTGGTATTCTTCTGAGGAGACAAAGTTCCAAGAAGTGACCACAACCCAATATATCCCAGATACACAGCCTGTGGAGTGTCACCAGCTTCTCAATTGTCAGACAGTTTCCCAAGCTGTTTAAGACTATCCTAAGAAATGAACACATGCATAGAGGTAGAACCAGTTTTAAAAACTAATGAAAAGTAGTCAAGCAGTAATTTACACAGAGCAGTAAGTAGCTACCCACCAACATGCCTACTCCTACCAGCATGTCTACTAGTTACCCTGTAGTGTGTTCCCAGCTAAATTCTCTATATAGCCATGCCTCCACACAAAGTCAGGGGAAAGTGTGCTGAGTAATAACCTCCCCAACCCAACGGCAATTTCAAAATCAGGCCCCAAGTGTGTCCTATATAGAAGAGAGATAATATTAAAGGGCATACTTGTTATAACACTAATTTGTCCCAACCGGACAGGTTTTTGGGAAGCATCAACAACAAAGGAAAATGTACAGAACAAATGAAAACAGGATAGAGATGTACAAAGGAGGAGGGGTGGAGAAAACAAGCAGGAAGAGGAAACTTGATTTTAATGCAAAAGGAGATGAGACACCACTGAATGAGGCAGACAGGGTTGAATTCCCTGAGAAGGAACACTCCTCCCACCCTGGCTCTCAGAAAAGCAGGATTATGGGGACAAACTAAATGCCCTGAATTTCCAGCAAAACAGAACAAATCTAAAACAGGACAAGCACAGATCTGCCTGTTTGGTCACTAACACTAGCATCTGGTTGAACTAAACCCACTAATTGTGAATAACCATATTAAAAAAATTTTTTTAACTGCAAATAAGAAGGAGTAATACCCTGTCTTCTACTTATTTAGTATCTGAAAGGCATCTGCTGTGCCCTGAACTCCAAACCAATTAACTTGTGTCACTGCAAACACAAGTCACAGACACTTGTATCAGGCTGGGAAGTTCAGTGACTCAGGTTTTTCAAGACTTAGACATTTTTAATTAGCGAGTTGTAATGTAGACTAACATTGAGCAAAACTGGTTTAATTTGCATTTAATTGCAGCAGTAGATCAAGCAACACTGGTCTGGCATCAATTTCAATAGAGGAAACTAATGAATACTCAAGGTGTGCAAGAGAAACAGGAATTTCAGCTAAGTGAAAATTCCAGTCCCTACAGACAAAGACAAAAGATGGCAAGAGAGCAGGGAGGTATGCAAAAGAAATACAGGAAGCAAAGTTTTTCATTTTGACATGCCAAAAATACTTGGTCATCTAGGTAAAGGAATTAGATTAATAAATTACATGGACCCAAGAACACAGATCTGGATACACAGAACTTTTAATTATTAATAGTTGCCTTGTTATTAATCAGAGACGTGAATAAGAAATAAATAAAACAGAAAACAAACTGTACTAAAGCAGAAAAAAAACTCCCAGAGTGCAGATCAAAACCCACATCAATCCAAACCAGCCAACAGCACTAACTCCCAGACTATAAAGCCTTCAAGGCTTCTTTTCCAATTTTTTCCTTTCTGGTCCCATGACCTTCACTTCTGCAGGAGGTACAGAAAGGACTCCTGTTTCATACCTGCCCAGCAAATGAAGCTCGTGCACTCTGATTGCCTTCAGTCTGAAGAGATCACTTAAGGAAAAGTATCCATCATTGTCCTTAAAGAAGTTAAAAATAAAAAACGGCAAACCCAAGCTAACAAACCAAGGAGAAGGATATCAACTGAGTTTAGGCATTCAGGGTTACTTTGCAAAGTTATTGGACAGCAAGTCCAGGCTCCAGCAACCTCCCAAGAAAAAGTTTACTCATGTATGATTGTATAATAAGAAAATACCAGATAAAGAGCTCCTACCAGGGTCTTTCATGACTTCAGAGTTATCTCAGCTTGGCTTATTTCTGTGATCACTTTGCTGCTGATCTAGCACACTGGAGAGAAGATGGAAGCTGTTAAGGTGGGAGCTGCTGAAGTGAGTGAACCATGACACCTCCAGCATGGACATTACTCCTAATATAGTAAAACTGTTGTCCCTTCTGCCAGAAAGCTTGTCCTTGGGTTAGTAGGCTGAATTAGCACTGCACCTTCACTGGATCTGGCCCAAGGAGCCTGAAGCAAGAGCAGGAGGAGAGGATTAAGGGTGGCAACAACCTGCAGCTACGAAGATCAGGTGTGGTGGGCTAAGCCCTGCCAACAGCTTGCTGCCACCATCAATTCTTCTACATATTCTTGGGGTCATAATGCATCTGAAAGAGACCTGAAACATTTCATTGTGCTTTATTACCACTACCCCACATACATGCCCTGCACCAAGCTCATCTGGTGTATTAGGTATGACTGGGCAGGTTATGCCAAGGCACAGTATTGATGTTCCAACAGATTAAACTTACCAAAAAGAGACAAAGCCACTCTGAAGCAAAAATCAGCACAGACTGAAGTGCACTGTAGCTTTCTGCAGAGCATCATTCCAACAGCTAAGCACTGCACATACCAGGGAAGACATGTTCACAAATTATGGTGTGAAATAAGCATTCTGTACAGGAACAGGCAGTGACCATACCACTCATACTTTAGGCCAAAACTGTAAGAACTAGAATATAGATCCCTCTCCCAGTCACTACACAAATCCTCCTTGTTACTGTTCTAAAAATCCCAACTCAATCTTATGAGCTTGTTAGAACCTTGCAGGCAGCTCAGGAGCCACTGCTGACACTGATGTAGTGACAACTCCCAGCCTGGTGTTTGGGAGCAGCTGGTGCTACCTCCTGCAGCCTTGCAGTGCTGCTGCCACAGCGCTGGAGCCTCCCTGGGCTCCCCACAACCCTGCACAGAGAGAGTAAAGTGAAAAGCCATCTAGGGAAGAGCTTGAAAAGGTTGGTAACAACCATGGCTGTAAAATAACGAAACAAAAATATGACATCACAGGCAGGGGAAAGAAAAAGCAAAACCAAGAATTTTCAAAGCTTTCTACTGATACATGCATAAACTAAAAATAATCAAAGCACCTGCAAGCAGCAGGCACAGACTTAATTTAACAGGTGATGAAAGACACTGATATTATTTCTATGAAGGTACAAGGCTTCTATGGCAGCAAAAAACCCCAGAAATAGAACATTTGTTATCAATTCTGTGCTCTAAACTGATACCTCATTGTTTTTATCCCTCCTATATTTTTTTTTCTTACTGGCTTCTTTTTAAACAAGATATAATGACTAACAGATGCTACAGCAGTGCAGTCCTCAATGAAAAGGTAATTAGCAGATGAAAGTTCAGCAGTTGTTTCTAGTTACAATCAGATGAGCTGTACACTCCCCATCCCCTAAGTGAAGGACAGAGATGAGCAATCCAACCTCTGCCTCCATCCCCCACTGTGACACAGTACAAAGCAGCACACATCAAGTGGGACCTAGAGGTACAGTGATAATGAACCTGAGCAGTCTGGGTTTGTTTCAGCTTTTGTCTCCAGAATTTAATAATTGCCAATACTTACAATACTACTTTTGCCAAAATTTTAAGGATATTCTCTGCATATAGTAAAGCTGATGAAAAAAATCAGTACTAGACATCTATGTTGACCAGTGAGAAATGTGTATTGCACAGATTCATTGCTATTTATTCATAAAAGCCTGTGCTTTCCTGTTGCAAATAAAGCTTATAAGGAAATAACTCCTGGAGCTCTGCTGATCTTCAAAATGTAAACAAATGAACAGAACTACTTGACAAATGTGGAGGAACTGCCACATATGAATGAATGAATGAATGCAATGTATGGCTTCAAGTGACTCTAACCCAGTGTAGTTGCTACTCAATTGGCTCAGCTGGTCAGAGCATGGTGCTGATAATACAAAGGTTGTGGGTTGAATCCCCATATGGGCCATTCACTTTAGAGCTGGACTTGATGATCCCTGGGAGTCCCTTCCAACTCAGAATATTCTGTGATCTGACTTAGATGGCTGTCACAGTTTTCATTGCCGCTTAGCTAACCTTAGAAATATGTCTGTTTGGGCTTGGTTGCCAAATACTTAAACTGCAGCCATAAAAACAAGCAAACAAGACATAAAATAAGGACAAGCTTGGTTAGTCCTCATAATTATTAATTTGAACTTTAATTCTTACAAGAGTTAAGACCAAGTGCCTCAAAAGATTACAAATGAAGAGTCATTCCACAAGTGTAAACTAGAGTAAGCCAATACAATTGAAAGTACTACTATTGTCAAACCCCTGGTGATGAGACATTCAGTGTTTCAGAAATAAAAAAAGGATTACTTTGGGGAATTGTATTACTCAGAACAAATTTCACCTGGCAGTAATATTAATGACTCCATATAGGCAATCAGGCCACACATGCTTATAGATAGCATGGGAAAGAGGTTAATAAAACTCAACCTGTAATTTCTGAATTACTTTTGAGAAAAAAATAATGGTTTACAATGTTTTCTCTTGGGGAAGGCAGGGCTTGGAAGAGAGTGCAGCATGTTTTGTTTTAAGGACTGTGAGGAAAATTTTAAAAAAGAAAACAAAAAACCCTCAAAAACAATACTCTAAAAAGAAAAGAAACCCAAAAACCATCACCAGTATACATCTGATGCCAAAGACAATAAATTACTACCTAATGGCATTTAACTTAAAAAAACCCTATTTTAGATTAATACATATATAAACAGATAGCAATTATTTTTTTTCCTCTAAACAACAAAAATACCAACACACAAGCTGAACAAAAATCCTGAAAAAACATACTTATACCATTAATTACCATACAGAGTTAAAAATAGTTCAGGACAATTTACTCAAAACCATTTGTTAAAGAAAATATGAAGCCTTATATTTAAACACTCCAGTATTTATTATATCCTCTGGGAGTGGTTAAAGAGAGCTGAACTACATACCAGCTTACAGCAAAATAACTAAAACTGTTTTCATTTCACACTTTGTGCTAATTTTCAGGAAATCTGCATGTGCACATTTATTTTGGAATCAGATACTTTCTGAAAATGTTGCCACTGGCATTGAAGAGGTGGAAAGAGGCACTGCCAGCACCATAGCTGGCTCCTGTTTGATGTTACTGTCTTGAGCACCACCAAAACCAAGGGCTAGCTCTTATTTATGGGCAGTATTTGGCCATGCTTGCTCAATAATTTCCCCCATTTGTTCACCACAAGTTGCAAGATGCCCCATGCCTGTCCCATGCTGTCTCCATGCCAGCCAGTGATTTTGTCCATCCTTCTGTGGAGTTATGGGAGCACCTGCTTGGGATCACTGCTGCTTTTTTATCTCTTGTTGTTGTTATATGCATACCAATACAGAAGGATGCAAAGTCAATGACTTTTTAAATGAATGCAAGTGTGGACTAATGTCTCTTTCCTCAACATTAAAAAAAACCATGTGTGATTTCCAGAGTTTCATAAACTCCAATTCTGTATAGTATTTGCTTTCTTGAAATCCAAACCTGTTGTAATGTCCTGACTTAAAGCTGGAGGCTGGTGGAACTACTACTGCTGCTTCACCTCTTCAAGAATAGTGCTTTCCTCCTTGCTTCTCAGTACTCCCCTGCATATCTGATCATCAGGTTCGGATATGGAGCAAGCAAAATACTACAACAGGAAGCTACTGCTGAACCATTTGAAAAGATCAGTCTCCTCCTATAACAGAAAGGGCAGTGCTGCCCAGCTTGGTAGAGTGCAGATGTGGGCATCCCTACAGAAACTGCACCAAACACACAAAAATGCTGCATTACATTCTGACATTATCAAAAATTCTCTTCATTTTTAATAACTATTCAAGTCCCGTTCCTACATCACCCTAGTATCTCAAGGTCTGTGCTATGGCCCTCTAAGGAAAACCAAACACCAGGAAATCAATCAGCTGTGCTTAACACTGGTCATGCTAGTCAGCTCAACACAAACAGATTAGAGCTGATTTTATTTATGTTTACTCCAACACCAAGATCTTCCCAGCAGCAAGAAGGAACCAGTCTGTAACCACAGTGAGAGTGGTCACACCAGTAGCCTGCTGGGTAAGCCTGGAGACTGCCACTTCTTGGGGGGCCAGTGAGGGGTCAGTCTGCTGTAAGCTATCATCAGGGAGCTGCCACTGGCACAGCATGGATGGGTTCAAATGTCTCCTGCCACAGACAGGCACAGGGAATTAAGACCTGAAAAAAGACCTGAAAGTCACTGCTGCCATGTGCACAGGTCCAAAAACACCGGTGGCATGATACCACTCAAAAAGTTGACTGAGGAGTGCTAGCCAAGCCCAGCATCAGGAAACACGACAGTGGTGGTGCACATCATAGGTGAAAAGACAAGTGCATCAGCAGCCTCATCATTGAAACCTGTTGTTGAGGCAGCAGGCACAGGCAAGATAAGCACAGGCTGTCTGCCTATCTGGATTGGAAATCTCACACTTTCATGTGTTCAAGTATGTTTTCCTTTACCACAACAGATGTTCCATGATATTTCCTTTACACCTAGTAGAGAAACTTTGTTTTCCCCATCCCCTGCATGCAGCAGGCGCGGGACTCCCGTGACAATGCTGATCTCAGCACTCCAGCACAGGAGGTGTCCCTGTCCTGCCTCCAACCTCCTCAGAAAGGCTATGCCCTGGCAAAGAAAACTCATGATCTTCAAGTATTAATTAGTACAGGTATTGTGAATCCTGAAATTCAATTTTATATATATACAGAAAATTTCTACATGTTCTGCTCAGTGTTTGTCATTTTCCATTTTTGAGATGCCAGCAAAAACTACTCTGAAAAATTTGGGACTTGATGTAACAAAGAAAAATTGTTAATCATCTTGCTGCCAAAAAAAAAAAAATCCTTATTGAGGTACTCAGAAATGGAACCTTATCATACCATCTGAAGTGTATTATAGCAGATTTTCACAGGCAGCAGTTGGAATTAAGTACATACCTTTCCATTTGGTATTTTTCACTTTGCAGCCTTAATCTAATTTCTTTGAAGACACTCAACTATTGTTCTGACAGAAGCATACAGAATAATTTATAGCAAAGCCTCAAAATTTTAAGTCCATGGGAGTTAAACACAAGGCCTTAAAAATTTCTAGACCCTATCTCAGAAGCTATGTAAAATATTTTTCCCATTAGCACTTTTCACATCTAAAATTTCAAAAGCCACTGCAGACATTTACATCTGCAATTCACAGACTTTTTATTGGGAATCCTTCTGAGATTCATATTACATAACTCAGCTGGGACAAGTATTTGAGAGCAATTAATCACTAGGGATATCACATACACATCTTCAGTGACATTTACTTAACCGAAGTCAAAAAAGCGTTTGAACCTTTCCACAGAAATCTTCAGATGTACCTGAAAGTAATTTTAGTATGTACATCACTATCCTTTACCAATTTATGTGGTAAATCCATTCTTCTACTTGTTTGCAAGAGGTTGTTATAATTAATCAAAATAGGGATTTTTGAGGAATGCTTTTCAGGACTGTTAAAGCAGAAGGAAAGATTCCAGCCCAGGCATTAACCAGCAGAGTAACAAGAAGGCAAGCTGGATTTGAAGGAGCAAGCATGTCTCTGGGCACACACACAGCCATGCAGACGAACAGGAAATCCAAGACATCTTTGGGTCACTGCAATATTGATCATCAGAGAAGGTACTTTTATGGCAATTTCTTACAACACCCAAGTAATAGAAACACTAATTTCATACAATGCTGGAGTAAAAACCAATGCCTTGTGTTTAAAGGTCTATGGAATGTTACAGGAAATAAGGCAATTATTTTCCTTTATCCACTAAATTCATCTTAATCATCACAATTATCCCAAGTCTGCAAAATACCAGGCACTCCTACTCCCTTCCTCCTCAGATCTGGTAGATAGATTTGGCCACCAGTGCCCTATGCATCAAAGCCAAACAGATCAAAGTACAGTTCAACAGAAGGCAAGCCAACTCCAGCCAGATCTTGTGCAACCTATGAACTGGAAGGCAGCTTTATCCATTGGGATCTCCTATTTCACCAGTGTTGAGATGCAGGCTCTGATATTAGTTTGTATGGACGTGGCAGTTGACCTTTGAGTTTTCTTTGTTTAACTGTAAAATGGGAATTCTGCCATCCTCAAAGCCTTTTTGAAGATTATGAGAGAGAACATCTTCAGCTGTAGCTACGGCCACATCTATGCTGTGGCTCACTTTGAAGCATCAGCCTTCAAGGAAGGGATGCTCTTCCATTTAAGGATGGCAGTGGTATTTTCATACAGAAGTTTCTCACTTCTTTGTGCATCAGCCCATTATTCTGCACCCACAAATTCAGTACTTCCAGTTTCCATAATCAAGATCTGTCTCTACCTTGAGTTGCAGAGGAAGATCTCCGATGTTCAAACAAGCCTCAATCATCCTAAAGGAGATCTTACAAGGTTACAGCACAAGACTGCTGTAAATTAGAGATCTCACAGGGATGCCAGCAACTATGAGCACTCTCAGCATCTATAGTATCCATAGGTTTAATCCATAGCACTTTAACATCTGTTGATTCTTCACATTCATTTGGTTTTACCCTAAAATCCCCTCTAGCAAAATAAGTGACACACCCCTCCCTTCCTATGTTTATTTTTCTTTCAGAAACAAACCAACCCCCCCACTGGCAACACTAAGACAACACACATGGGAGTCTAACTTGACTTCAAGATGACTGCAGAAGACAGAACTTCATTAGTTCAATGGGATTGATGCCTGCCTCATGCTAATTTTGTTTCATTTCAGTCCTCCCTTTCCATTTGTGCCATCTGTTCTTGTAACCAGTTTACCTTTTCCATCCACAGCAAAACAGATTAATCAAACACAAAGGAGGCAGCTAGATGAGCTCTTCCAATATAGACTAGTTTATGATATGACAGCACAGAT